GAAGTGGTGCTGTGGCTCAAGTGGTAGAGTGCTAGCCTTGAGCAAAAGAAGCTCAGGGACAATGCCCAGGCCCTGAGTTCAAGCCCAGGACTGGCAAAAAGAAATATGGATACTGGGTCTAAGTAACACCATCTTGTCTTCACCGCCATCTCACACCTTGGTGGATGATGGGGACTTTCCACAAACTCTAGAGGTGACATTTACTTCCCCAAGCTGGGCGCCAGTAGCTCACACCTGTAATCCTAGCTACTCAGGAGGTGGAAATCTGAGGATCACGGTTCAAAGCCAGCCCCAGCAGGAAAGTCTATGAGACTCTTATCTCAATTAAACACCACAAAACCGGAAGTGATGCTGTGGCTCAAGTGGAGTGCTAGCCTTGAGCAAAAGTAGCTGGAGGACAGTGCCTAGGCCCTGGATTCAAGTCCCAGGACTGGCAAAAAAAAAAAAAAGTAACTTCTAAATTATACTTTTTTTTGGGGGGCAGGGGTTGGTCATGGGGCCTGAACTCTGGGCCTGGGCGCTGTCCCTCAGCTCTTCAGCTCAAGGCTAGCACTCTACCACTTGAGCCACAGCGCCACATCCAGGTTTTTCTGCTTATGTGGTGCTGAGGAATTGAACCCAGGGCCTCATGCATACAAGACAAGCACTCTACCACTGAGCCACCTTCTCAGCCCTTAAATTATATGTTTATAAATGTTTACATCTACATCGAAAATACCAAAACTGAGAGTTGGTGGCTCATGCCTGTAAATCCTAGCTACTCAGGAAGCTTAGATCTGAAGATCACGGTTCAAAGCCAGCTCAGCCCTGGCAGGAAAGTCTGTGAGACTTTTATCTTCCACTAGAAAACTGGAAATAGAGCTGTGACTCAAAGTGGAACAGTGCTAGCCTTGAGCAAAGGAGCTCAGGGACAGTGCCCAGGCCCTGAGTCAAGCCCATGACCAACATTCAAAAGAAAAATGTAATGCCAAAAATATCACCAGGGGGCTAGGAAGGTGGCTCAGTGGTAGAGCACTTGCCCTGCATGCCTGGGGCCTTGGGTTAAATTCCTCAGCACCACATAAGCAAAAAGAAAAAAGCCGGAAGTGGCGCTGTGGCTCAAGTGGTAGAGCACTAGCTTTGAGCTGAAGAGCTGAGGGACAGCGCCCAGGCCCAGAGTTCAGGCCCCACGACCAGACCCAAAAAAAATCACCAGGACATGTTAGGAAGTGTTCCCCATATGGACCCCAGCTCTTGCTCCTCTCCCCTCCTCTCTCCCTCTCCACACCCTGCTCTGCTCTCCTCTGCTCTTCTCAGCTTCTTGATTTTTGGGTTTTTTTTGGGGGGTCCAGTCGTGGTGCCTGAACTCTGGGCCTGGGTGCTGTCCCTCAGCTCTGATTCAGCTCAAGGCGAGCGCTCTGCCACTCAGCCACCTTCCCAGCCCCTCTTCTCAGCTTCTTCAAAGCCCCGAGGTCACGGCCATGGCGCATAGCCTTCATCTCAAGCCCTGGCCAGCGTCCAGTGTTTACATTCGGAGGTAACGGGAAGTTGGGAGGGTGGGACTTGTCTGAGGACAGAAGCCTCCCTGGAGTTCACCCCATGCACTGCCCTATCCCTGGGACACTTCTGCCTTCAGGACATTAACCTTGGCCACCCTCCTCCCTCCCTCCTCACCCCCAAGGCTTCATCTCCCCCCAAGTACAACAGCTCGGGAGCCTCCCACTCTACCAGGCCAGACTTGTCTGCTCCTGCCTGTCCCAGACTCTGCTCAGCCCAGCCAGTCGGACTGGGCAGGAAGGCGAGTGTGTGTGTGTACAGAGGGAGGGGGCCCAGCACCACGGCACATGCATTTAATCAGCACTTTTATGCATGCAAGGCAAGCACTCTACCACTGAGCCACCTTCCCAGCCCTTAATCAGTGCTTTTTTTCTTGTCGGTCATGGGGCTTGAACTTGGCCTGGGCGCTGTCCCGCCACCTTCCCAGCCCCAATCAGTGCTCTTCAAAGAAGCTAGATGGTAGGAGGTACTGCTGAAGCCAGGTGCTGGTGGATTCCACATTATCCTTGCTACATAGGAGACAGAGACTTGAAGTTCAAGGACAGCCTGAACAAAAAGTTTGTAAGACCCCTGAAACAATAGCTACATTAGCTACAATACATTACATACATTAGCTACAATAGCTACATTAGCCAGGGGACCTACTCAGTGCTGGCTGGCCTCATCCCAAACATCCAGACTGCGAACTGAACCAAGGGACAACACAACTGACCAGAGCAATGGGCGCAGCACGGATGCTTGCAAAAACATTTCCCCACGGGCTGGGAAGGTGGCTCAGTGGTAGAGCGCTTGCCTTGCATGGCAAGGCCCTGGGTTCGATTCCTCAGCACCACATAAGCAAAAAGAAAAAAAAAGCCGGAAGTGGTGCTGTGGCTCAAGTGGTAGAGCTAGCCTTGAGCTGAAGAGCTGAGGGACAGTGCCCAGGCCCAGAGTTCAGGCCCCAACCAGACCCAAAAACAAAAACAAAAAACATTTCCCCACATATCTGATGGCCACACAGGACGGAGAAGACACCTGCCTGCTCAAGTGCTCACACCAGAGAAGGGGCAAGGCGGGTATGTGAGTGGCGGCGGGGTGGGATGGGAGCTGCTTTCCTGGTCATCTTGGAGCAAGACCTGCTGCTCACAAATCCATTGGATAAAAACTCACAGGACCACACGGCTGGGAAACGTGGCTTAATGCTTGCCCAGCATGCATGAAGCCCTGGGCTCCTCAGTACCACATACACAGAAAAAGACCTAAGTGGCACTGTGGCTTAGGTGGTAGTGACAGTACCCAGGCCCTGAAGTCCAAGCCCCAGGACTGGCAAAAAAAAAGTCTGCACCCACTACACATCTAAGGGGGCTGGAAGGTAGCTCAGCAGTAGAGTGCATGCCTTGCAAGCATGAGGCCCTGGGTTCAATTCCTCAGCACCACATAAACAGAAAAAGCTGGAAGTGGAGCTGTGGCTCCAGTGGTAGAGCGCTAGCCTTGAGCTGAAGAGCTGAGGGCTATGCCCAGGCCCAGAGTTCAGGCCCCATGACCGGCAAAAAAAAAAAAAAACCCACATCTAAGTTCCCAGGTTTGTGGCCACATACACTTTATTTTCCTGGCTGGGATGTAGCTCAGTGGCAAAGCGCTTGCCTAGCAAGTGCAACATCCTGGGTTCGGTCCCCAGTACCAAAAAAGACAAAAAAAAGTTTTTAAAAAAACAAACCCAAACACTATTTTCCTATTACATCTAGCCAGGACTTTCCTAGGACAAATGCATTCTAAACTTGGTTTGGTTTTAGGTTTGATATCCAGGCAAGACTTGGATATTCTCTAGCCTCAGAGCTTATATTAAAGGATTGTTTCGGTGCATACTGAACAAGGCAGATGGTCAGCAACACTGGCGGGTGCAGAAGGCAGGATGGGCAGTCTTGCACAAGGCCTTGGCCTGAGTGACCTTCCATCCAAGGAACCAGAGAAGGGTGGCAGCTATAGCATCGCTGTCAAAACACCCAGTGCAGACAGAACCCAGCCTGGCAGGCCTCTACCTGGCCACAGCCACCATGACCAGGGTACCACCAATGGTCAGGAGGTCCTCTCTGGGCCTGACCTCCCCAGCTAAGGGGAAAACCCTTCACCGCACCAGACTCCATGAGCTGGCCTGCACTGTACTTGGGGGAAAAGGAGGTGAAACACTACTGAGAGCTGCCACCTCTCCTTTGGTGTCTCTAGAATAGCACTTTTCAAGGTCATTGAATCCCTACCCAAACACCCACCACCACCGGGGGTCAGAAGAGGGCAGCCATGACCACTGCTCCATGTCCTCAGTTACTATTGACACAACTTTATCTACGGGTTAGAAACTAAGAACTGGACTGACTACTCACCCATTTCCACTCCATACAGACTGAAAGAAAAAACATAGTGTTACGTGGTTACAAACCCCTGTTTTCAGGCCTCTCATCAAAACACAAAATCCCTACATGACTCTAGGGAATAAGAGTAGAATTGTTGGTTCACTGGGTGAAGTTCCAGTTCTGAGATGAGGGATAAAATTCTGAGGTTTATTACTTGGGTGTCAGTGGTGCATGTATATAACCCTAACTGTGCGGGAGGCTGAGATCTGAGGATCCTAGCTCAAAGGCAGCCCAGACTGGAATGTCCATGGTCTCTTCAACTAACCACCAAAAAGCTGTGAGTGGAGCTGTGGTTCGAGGGACAGAGCCCAGATAGACATCAAGTCCCAGGAGGCTCAGTGGTAGAGTGCTTGCCTTGCATGCCTGAGGCCCTGGGTTTGATTCCTCAGCACCACATAAGCAGAAAAAGCCAGAAGTGTTGCTGTGGCTCAAGTGGTACAGCACTCACTTTGAGCTGAACAGCTGAGGGACAGAGCCCAGACCCAAAGTTCAGGCCCCACAACAGACCAAAAAAAGAAAAAAGGAGATCTTGGTCACATTTAAGGCTACTGATCAGAACTGAAAATGGCTAAGGCAGAGGGCAGGGTATGGTGGTACATGTCTGTAATCCAAACTACAAAAGGAAAAAACAGGGACAAGGGTCTCTGCTCAATAGCCAAGAAAGTTCAGATGAGTTCAATAAATGAACTCAGGTGTGTTAATTCACACCTGTAATCACAGATGCAAGGGAGATGTAGGTCAGAGTACCATGTCTAAGGCCAATCTAGGCAAAATTGAGGCCCAACCTGCAGAAGAGAGTAGGGTGTCCCTAATTGGTGTAACATCTGCCCAAGATACAAAGAAGCCTTAAGAGTTCACACCAAGAAAAAAGACAGGGAACTTCGGGTGTCCTTAAATCACACACAAAAAACTAAGAAAGTACAAGTATTTCTTTAAAGCCAAGCTGCATAGAAACAGTAGTGCAGCGCTTCGAGATGCCAGGATTGAGCAGGCCCCCCTGCCCACCTCCAGCTGCCACGAGGCCACTGATCACACACCCATGCCTCTAGCAGGTCGAGAAAGATACCTAAAACCCAATACTATGAATTATACTTTATTTAGTCATCTTTCTTTACAACTGAAACTCTGGGAATTCAAAATTAACATCCTTGCCCGTGAGCTTCTTATACACACCAGAAAACGTTTCAACCTACAAGAAAAGAAAGAATTCGTCACCAAAAGATACAGAAGTGTCCCCTGCAACCCAGTGAGCATGTTGTGATGGCATGGGGCCTGGTTCACCCAAGGGCTGGAGCAGCTTATCCCTACCCCCAAGCTGCTCCCACAGACACACAGAGCCCGAGGGGCTGCTGCCATCAACTCCTCCTGGGGTCAAACACACCACCCAACCTGGCTTCGCAACATGCTGCCGTCCCCTGTGTATCTTCTAACACGTCCCCCGTAGGTGAGGCCCAGGAGGTGAGCCCGACTTCCTCACCGTGTGTGCGCCGCCGCCCCGCAGCCTGTTACCTTGTGCTCCACGTTGTTCTGCTGCGCTCGGTCCAGATGGACCTTGATGAGCCGGCTGCCGTCCAGCTTCACCCGGATCCTCTTGCCTACAATCTCGCTGGGGAAGACCAAGTCCTCCAGGATGGCGTCGTGCACAGCAGTCAGAGTGCGGCTTGAGGAAGCAGGGACAAGTGAGCAGCACGGCAGGGCCCCCACCCACCCACCCGTGAGTCACAGCAGAAAAGGCAAGCCCGGATCCTGACAGCACCTGACCACTGTCTCCAAACCAGCAGCTGGGCCTTTGAGTGGGCTTAGCAGTTTCTTCCTAAAGCTTCATCCATGTTAAACCTGACCACTTGGCTGTCTCTGTGCTGGTCACAGAAGTGATCAGCAGAGAATTACACACCATTTTCACACTATTTCTAAAGTGAATCCATGCAATAACCTCTTTACAATCAAAAACCATACACTGTCACGAGTAATCTGAAATACCAACGTGACCAAATTGACAACTGCCTCCACCAGCTCTCCATGCCACACATCTCCTTTACGACTCCAGCCAGCAACACACCACTCCACCCCAAAGGAGCTGCTCTGTCCAGGGCTCTAGGGCTCTGCCTAACCAGGACTCAGCCCAGTATGCACACTGCCAGGACTGTCCTGGAGGAACCCAACAACAAGCAGACAACACAGGAAGTGAACATGCACCAAACAGCAGCCACCGCAGTCAGGCACCACAGGCTCACCAGCAGAGCTCAGAGGGGCAGCATGCTGCCCAGCCCCACAGGGGACCACACTGGACGCACTTCAGAAAAGATTCACTCACAACTCCAAGGATGGCTCTCCTGAAGGCATCTCAAGTCCACACTGGAGTGTGGTGGCAGTAACCTAAGTCTGGGACCACCCATAGATCTTAAGGGCTAGGGTGCTCTTGGTGTACCAGACACGAGATCCAGGCTCCACTTCCACACTGAGTGACGTCACGGTTACTTGTCTGGTTCTTACAACCCCGTGGCGTGCATACCATGTTCAGCTCGCCCCCCACCCAGCAGTGCTAGTGAAGCCCTCCAGCCAGCCCCTCCAGTGAGACAGTAAGCCAGAGATTCACTTCTGAGACTTCACTGCCTGCCAGGGGGCCCATCAGAGGATGCTTGCTTCTACCCATTAATCATGAGCAAAGGTACATCTACCAATTACTTTAAACTATAAAGGCCAAAGCCAGTGGTTCATGCCTATAAATCTCAGCTACTCAGGAAGCTGAGAACTGAGGATCAGTTTGAAGCAAGCCAAGAAAAGAAAAGCCACAAAACCCCATCTCCCATTAGCCATCAAAATGCCAGAAGGGAAGCTGTGGCTCAAATTGTAGAGCACCTGCCTTGAACGAAAAAAAGCTCAGGCACTAAGTTCAAACCCAGGACCATCACACACACAAAAACACATGTGTGTATATGTACAAAACTGTAACAGAATGTTCAATAGGAAATGTACTCATTACCTTACTCATATAACTGTAACCCTCTGTACAGGATCCTTACAATAAAAAATGTTAAAAACTGTAACAGAATCAAAGCTGTTCTTGGAATCTTGTCCAGTTTCCAAACATTGAGTATGTCCAGAACTGAAAATATTGGAAAGCAGGAAATCTAACTGGAAAAGAGCAGAATCATCCAACCCATAAGAGATGGCCTTAGGTGTAGGCTGGTGTTAAATGGTGCTTCCTGGACAAGGACACCTCAAGACTGCAGGCTTGGGCCAAGCCCAGGATACTGCTCCTCACTGGATTCCTGACCAGGCTTGGAAACAGACCTACAAATCCTCAAGGAGGCTCAGGCCTCAGTTTCTAGGCCACTCCCATTGCCCTGAAGTTTATATTAGCCAAAATGAGCAAATTCTCCAAGACTTGGGTTCAATTGTCCACTAATAACCAGAGGTAACAATACTTACACACTTAACGAGTTTTTTTTTTTTTTGTCAGTTGTGGGCCTGAACTCTGGGCCTGGGCACTGTCCCTCAGCTCTTCAGCTCAAGGCTAGTGCTCTACCACTTGAGCCACAGCGCCACTTCCGGCTTTTTTCTTTTTGCTTATGTGGTGCTGAGGAATCGAACCCAGGGCCTCAGACATGCAAGGCAAGCGCTCTATCACTGTACTGAGCCACGTTCCCAGCCCCTTGAGCAGGCATTTTTGAGGCAGCTAAAACACTCACCTTCTGGGACGCTTCTGCTTATTTTTTGTCCGGCTTTTTCTGGTTGGCTTGGGCAGAATTCTCCTCTGTAAACAAAAAACATTATATAGCAAAATGCACATACACACCAAAACCTGAAGTAGGCAAAATGCTGTAAAAGATGGATTACTTTAAAACCAAACCACTCACTGAGAACTTTCTATAAAGCGCTTCCCCATCCATTCAGAACCCCTCTATTACAATGCTAAATAGCCCAAGACATTTGTTTCCACGCTCAACACCCACTACCTGCACATGCACTCATGGACTTGATGCTGAGCAGGCTCCCTATGTTCCCCTAAGTCCTGACTTCACTCTGCAAAGCCTCACCATGTCCCAACTTTGCCCTCTTCCCTACAAGCTTCCTTAGTGTTGCTCCAGTCTCCGTGGACGACACCAGCCGAAGAGCAGGGACTGCTATTCAGAAGCATTGTCCACACAGACCACCGGGCACTACAAACACCAGAGCTCCTCAACAATTGCAAATACCCACCCTGTCACTTTACACACGTCAGTGCTTGGCCTCAATGCTGAAAGCAAACAACCTTTCCTAGCTAGCACTGGGACGGTAACAGGACTGTTTCAATAACTCAACTAAAACGGGCCCAAATGCAAAGACATTGCACTGAACCCAGGACAGAACACACACCTGGGCAATGAAGACAACATGCTTCCCGCTGAACTTTTTCTCCAATTCACGAACTAACCGGACTTGGATTTTCTGGAAAGATTTCAGCTGAGGAACTGGAACGAAAATAATGATAGCTTTCCGACCACCGCCAACTTCAATTTCCTAAAAAAAGAAATTCCACATTTTAAAGTTCTTATCTTCACTCTTCCTAACCCAAGCACAGTCCTGTTTACACTACTCAATTTCTGTACTAATGGTAAATTACTCTGCAAAGCCCGGTGCCCAGCATTCAGACCTGTAAGCCTTGCTATTCAGGAAGCTAAACCTGAGGACTGTGGTACAAAGCCAACCTAGGCAGGTAGTGAGATTTTGTGTGCATGTGTACACGGGGTCCTGGGGCTTGAACCCAAGCCTGGATGCTATCCCTGAGTTTTTGCTCATGCTAGAGGTCTACACCACTTGAGTGAGGCACCAATGCCTGGCCAGAAACCTGACATTCTTTTTTTTTTTTGGTCGGCCGTGGGGCTTGAACTCTGGGCCTGGGCGCTGTCCCTCACTCAGCTCTTCAGCTCAAGGCCAGCGCTCCACCACTTGAACTACAGCGCCAGTTCCGGTCTTCTGGTGGTTTATTGGAGATAGGAGTCTCACGGTCTCTCCTGCCCGGGCTGGCTTTGATCCGTGATCCTCAGATCTCAGCCTCCTGAGTAGCTAGGATTACAGGCGTGAGCCACCAGCGCCCGGCAGAAACCTGACATTCTTATCTCCCACCAACGGACAAAAAATCCAGCACTGGTGCTGTAACTCAAATGATGAGTGCTGGCCTTGAGCAAAACTGTGCCCAGGCCCCAGCACCAAAAATTACCAGCTGGACAATGATGGCTCATGCCTGTCATCCTAGCTACTTAAGAGGCCAGAAATCTGAGGATCTTGGTTCAAGGCCAGCTCCAGCAGGAAGTCTGTGACTCTCGTCTCCAATTAACCACCAGAAAACTAGAAAGGGTACTGTGCACCAAGTGGTAGAGCACTACTAACCTTGAATGCAAAAGTTGAGGGGCAGTGCCCGGGCCTTGAGTTCAAACCACATGACCGGCCAAAATACTTTTTTATTTTTGGTGGGTCGTGGGGCTTGAACTCTGGGCCTGGGCGCTGTCCCTGCGCTCTTCAGCTCAAGGCCGGCATTCTACCACTTGAGCCGCAGCGCCACTTCCAGTTTTCTGGTGGCTTATTGGAGATAGAGTCTTATGGACTTTCCTGCCCGGACTGGCTTTGAACCGAGATCCTCAGATCTCAGCCTCCTGAGTAGCTAGGATTACAGGCGTGAGCCACTGGCGCCGGGCTCGAAGTAAATATTAAAAAATAAAAACCTGAAAAAAAAACTTGGCTATACTTCGATAAGGCTTTTTCTCTTCCCCACTATGAGCAGTGGGAACTTAAATCTTTGACTATAGCTTTTGGACCTCGAGCCTTTAGAGTGACTAGGAAGTCCGGGCGCCGGTGGCTCACTCCTGTAATCCTAGCATGCCGGACAGACAAGACACATAAACCTAACACTGTGTGCAAGTACGGTGTGCATCTTTGCAACCAAAGATAACAGCTAGTAATCCTCTGCTTACTTAGGGGCTTTTCACCAAAGGCTTGAGGCTTTTTAAAGTTCAAGGCCGGGCTGATGGCTCACACCTGTAATCTTAACTACTCAAAGGGTGAGACCTGAGGAATTTAATCTCAAATCTGCCACGGAAGGCACAGAAGTAGAGCTGTGGCTCAAGTGGTAGAGCATCAGCTCTTGAGTGGCAGAACTAAGAGACTTTGTCCAGATCCTAAATGCCAAATCTCTTTCGGGGGGGGGGGGGGGAGGAATAACTCCATGGCCTAAGTTTCAACCCAGGGACAGGACCAGGGTCCGGAGTCAGTCCCGAGTCCCGGGCCTGACACACGTGCGGCCCGCCCCTCCACGTCTCCCGGGTTAAAACCTAGGCAGCGCCAAGGCGCCCAGCAGCGCCCCGCACTCCGGGGGCTCCGGCCGCGTCCCGGGCCGAGGGCGCCCGCGCAGCCCGCTCACCTTGGCCGCCGTGATGTTGAGCTCGCGTAGCTGGGCCTTGAGGTCCGAGTTCATCTCCAGCTCGAGCAGCGCCTGCGGGCGGCACAGCGTGGGCGCGGGGCCCGGGGCCGG